GGGAGTTTTTCCAAAAAAGTCTTCGTTTCATGAAGTTTTAAATTTGTGTGTTTTTCTTTGAGTCGCAAAATCGACTCAAACATGACGCTGCTTTTTTCGAAGTTTCTCAAGAACCATTCGAGTCACAGAATTCGTTTTGGCACCGTTGGATAGAGAATTGAAAATTCGATTTAGTCATAACAACACGAGTGAGGTAAATTGTAGTTTTGACCCAGAAAGCGAAATTTGAATATCAGACACTTAGGTGCAAGATTATGCCAAAATTTTATGTTTTCCGTCGCGTTTTTGCTGATTTTTTGGAAGCAAAATGAGCCAGAACGCTCATTTTTCCATCATTTCCAAGAGAACTAAATGGCTTTTTTAGATAGTGAACCATCGATAAGGAAATGTTGCGAGTTTTCTCAAACAAGTCTTAATTCATTTCAATGAATGGGGGGTTTCATGACCCCCCTTGGATCCGCCCTTTCCCCCGTTATACTCGTTTGAAAACATTTTGTCCTATTTTGTGCGAAGAGTTTTGTCGTCTTCCCTTAAGCTTCTTGAGTAGTTGTTATCAAAAAAAATCTCCCGTTTTTTTTTAACTTTCAGGACCAGTTTCCGACTGAACTGAAGCAGGTTTTACTACTTCAAACAAGCAAATCAAATCGTCAAAATGAAACAATCACCCCATCAGACAACATCTTGTTAGAAATCAGTTCTAGACCGTTTAAGCCACCCGCATGTTGCTCGCAAAATATCCCCCATACAGACACCAACAGACGAAACTTAAGAGTCCCTGATGTGTTAGTTAATCATTTTCCAGCCCCCATTAATCTCCACATGACAATTTATCCAATGAAAAGCTCGATAGTTTGAACTGGTCCGGACCATCCATCATGGCCGGTCTGCGGATGGCATTTTGCGCAAAAAGTCCACAATCTAAGACAAATTCTAGACAATAGCTGGAAGAGCACGAGACGAGGTTCTTTGTGATGGGTTTCTAATAAAAATTCCCTGGCTGCATTAAACCTTGCGCGTCCGCTAAAGCACACCACAAGGCCAAGAATGGAAACTGAACCCGCTCGGGCCTTATAGAGCGAATTTTTTCTTCGCCGAGGACATAAAGAATGTCCGCTCGTTCTATGGCCGCTTGTAAAATATCTTCGATTGAAAGATGAGTATTGAGCCACGCATAACCGCATCTAACGGCCTTTGGGCACCACTTTTGTTGGATTATAGGTGGATGACCCTTTGCTCACTTCACTATGCAAAACCGAGCATCTTCTAGAATTTGTTCAAGCCCAGAATCACCATCTTCCTCCGTATCTTTTGTCACGACCACTTACCAGCTTATCTGGTCAAATCGGTGTTGTTCTTAGAACGGAAAAAGCAACCGGTGTATCACACCTGCATCTACCAGCAATAATTTGCTTAAAACGTCCCCGACCGACAACCCGATTTGCGGCCGAGTGATTTTAAAGTGCGATTCTGGTTTCAGTTTCGCAATTTCGTTGTTTTCAGGCACCGTTTACGAAGCAAATGAGCGTATGCACTCTTTTCTTGATCGGTCAACGATAGCATAAGGAGTGAAGTTGTCATAGTCACCTTGAATTTATTTCGTAGATGCTTGCAGGCAAAATCCCACTTGAATCTTCTTTGTGCGGTTCTCACCATTTATGCGCTTTATATGACCATCACAAGAATTTAACAACGTATTTCCGAGTTGTTTCACAAAATTGTCCGTTTTTTCCGCATATTTTTATGTTTTCTGCCATCGTTTTCATTGACACTTCAGCAAAGTATACGAAATTCAAGGCAAAAGGGTTCGGCAAACAGATGAAACAACATGGAAGATATTGAAGACACATTTTAGAGTAACCTGGAAAATTAATCTAGAATGTTAATGAAAATGAAAGCAAATTAAACTTTAGCTCCAGATACTGAAGAAATTAACTCAATTATGTCGAAGACATCAATCGTTTCCTCTTTGACTAGTGAGTTACTAAAAAACATTTTTTTTAAAGTTCATACTAAAAAATGAGGGACAATTGCAGATAAAGAAAACTTGGATGCGTTAGATCTGACGGGAAAAACTTTCAGATACTGGGAAAAATAAAACATATCGACATCGATCAGCTGAAGAACCAAAAGCCACTTTTGTTGGTACGGAATGTAAAGGAAAAAAAAAGCTGCCACAAGAACGTGGCAAAAAGCGAAAATTTATCCAGCAGATTTATGAAAAGGAAAGCAAAGAATACTTCAAACAGACCGACGTGAAAATGCTTCAGAAAGTTCAAATTTCGATGTCAATTGGCTTGAAAAGCAAAAACGAGGTTTGTGGGTACAGAACGTCGAGCAATAGAAAGACAGGAAAGTTGAAAAAATCAGTAGAGAAACAGAGGATATTGAAAAATAGAAGCAAAAGAAGATACCATACAAGGGAAATGAACCTAGAATCTTTGTGAAAGCGGAAGCACGGATACTTCAGACAACAAGAAACTCTCCGGATTCCGAAGAATACAAAAAACTGTTCGACATCAGGAGGAAAAGCTGGAATGGAGAGGGCGCAGTTTCTAAAACGACTCTCGACATGGTTTCTGTTTAAACATTTATTACTTAATTGTTTTTGCGGAACACAAATGAATCAATAAAGAAACAGCGGAAGAAACAATTAATTTGCGAACCATCTTTGAGGTAAAGGCGGTTGCAGTAGTTCTCAGGAAAATGTGCATCTAGGAAAGCCGAATGCTACTGAAGATGGATCATCGATCTCATGTCCAAATTATGCAGATTTTCACAATAAAAAACAATATTACCTCTGGGTACACCTGGTGGATCAGTAGGTGCCAAAAATCCCCCACTTCCATCTTCGGAGCTTCCATATCCAGCGCTTCCAAATGAGCTGCCCGAATGCCGAAACTCGTATGGGACTGCTGGTGGGGCGACTTTCTTGGCAGTGGCCGCTGGTTTAGGCGGCCTGGACATGCCGCCCACTGAAACAAACAAAAAAACATTGTAGCAAATCAAACGCAGGAACAAACGAAGAAAACATCTAGGTCATTAAGAAAATCCACTTCGATCTAAATGAAAAACTATACTTAATAAAACCGTATAAAAGGAACATTAGCTGGGCGATCTGGGCGTATATTTAGTTGTCAGCCCGCTCGATAAGGTTTCCTTATTTAATTATTGTCGCCTGACGTGTTTTAGTTAATTAATTCCATTAATTATCGGTTACATCTTTTGCGTTTGCCCCCATACGTATGCAAATGGTTAAAAAGTAGCTGAGTTTTTCCGCAGTTTTCGCAAAGATTACCATTAGTTTCTTATGGTAAGGGAACTGATAAAGTAGAGGGTTTAATTATGTAGATTCCTAATGGAACACTCTGCAATTAAACAACTGGAGAACATGAATGGATGTGGTGGTTGGCAGATTTTGTCGTTTTCAAATTGTTCAAATCTTTCAGCACATGAACATTTTGTGTTTTTGCCACAGTTTTCAAGGAAGAAAATAAGCAACGTAACATTAAAATTACAAACAAACTCTGACGGTTTGCGATCGAATGTGAAGTGAAACATCGGCAGAATCACAGCTAATCTGTAAATGTAATGCTGTTGTCTTTTTGGGATGTTCACTCACGTTTTTATTTTCCAAGTTTCACTTTTTTTAAATAGAAGAATGGTTTTAGACACTTTACTTTATTAAGGGATTTTTAGAATATAGTTGAAAGTTTTTTGGTTCGATAACGGTACTGCGTAAATATTTGCTTGCTTCAGGAGCATCTACGGGTAATTTTTAAAATCTCCGTTTTTATTGATTTTCAAAAAAAAAACAAAAACACGATTTTGAAGAAACTCAAAATATCCTAAAAACCACAATCGATGAACCAAATCTGAGCATATTCGTTGAAAGATCTACTCAATAAACACAGAAAAGCTGATATTCACTTTTGTTCTAAACCCAACACTAAACTAGTTAGACATTTTTCAGCTCATTTGAATTTTTGAACCATCTTTTGGCCATAATTCCCCAACCACATCCTCGAATGTTTTCCGGTTTTCACCATCCTAATCGGTTCAAAACCAGGCATTTTATAACATTTCAACCCATACACTGTCGTCAACATCAAGAACTGTTTCTTGACGATCACGCATTCCATTGCTGCATCTGTTGGGCGCGCCGATTAAGAACTTAATCCACATCAGCCTTGATTGCACGCGGTTGTTTCCCTTATTTAATTATAGTTATGACGATTAATCTAATTCGATTCATAAATAAACGTCGATTAATCTTCGGGGAATCCAGATTTATCAGCTTTAGCTGCGTCTTGGCTTTAGCTGCAGCACAGTGCCGTAATTGGTTTACGGCATTTTTTTGTCCATCCTCTAATTAATTCGCGCGCTCAAGAACTACAACGGCTCGACTTTAATTGGGTTGAGGTTTTTAACCCCATCGCGCCTGCAAATAGTAACAATTAGCCGGTCGCTTAAGACCTAAAGTGATCGAGTTTCGCTATCTGGTTGAAAAGTGCAAATAATTAGTTCTGTGGCGGTTTCGCGAGAAGCTGAAATGTTACTAATACATCGGAACTAACGGCGAAGAGGTTTCGATGACTATTTGCTAGCGGAATAGCGTGAATTCGAACAAATTCATAAATTGTAAATACATGGTCATCGGCAGATGATAAATGCATTTCGAATGCAAGGTGTGGCTGTTAAAGAGTGAGCCATTTGAATTGAATGAAATTAATATTAATGCGGCATCGGCATAATTCATCGAACATCTTGGATTGAAAATTGTTTTTAATTGTGCTTGAGAATATGGCTAAGTTCTGCTTGAACAGTCACAGTTTGCAAATGCATGTACTTAATTTGGCTTCAACTAAGTAGGTAGTTTCCACATCAATTTACCGGAGAGAAAGAGCTAAAGAGGTCATCAACGTACAGTACTTTTTATGCCAAGAGCAAGCCGCATCTTTTATGCACGTTGGTATGTTCAAATTTGATTTATTTCAACTCGTTTTTCAGCTTTATAGTGCTCAGGAGTGAGTTACTGATATTGTCCTACACTGGAGGTTTTTACGCTTTGTTTAGTTGGTCAATTCCTCCCTCTACTGTTCATTCTTCGTTAACTTCCTTCGACTCACTATTTTTTTGCTTCCATAATGTTATTTCCAGGTTTGTCTAGATTTTTTTCCAGCTCATTTCTCTACTTGTGAACTCCGGGCCTCAATACTGTTGGTTGATTTTGGACCTTTTTACTAAATGCTGCTGACTGTGTGTTCATTTTCGTCATTTTTGGCAAAATGAGTCGAATTGAATCGATTTGAACACCTTCCAGCAAAAAAATGGACGAAAATTTAGGGAAACTGAACCAAAAACAAAAATGTTGCGGCCGTCCTTTGAACAATCGGTGATTTTCGAACTTTTCAACTGGAATTTTGCTCTGACGTTGGCTTCATTTGCTCACAGTAGTCTGAAGATGAACACACATCTGACGTATCCTTGCGTGCTACCGAAACATCTGGACCAAATTTCTGTCGTAAAACCCGTAATTTATGCCCACCTGGTTGAACAAGTACATGAACGACTATTTTTCCTCCCACGTTTGAATGATTGTTGTGAGTTTTGGGGAAATGAGGACTTTCAGGTGATATTATGTGAAACTATCAGTAAGCAAACAATAAACCGAGTCCCACATCGGAGATTTCACCGACTAATCAGCCAGTGTGTTCCAAATGTGTTGTCAATTGCGCCCACTTCTTGTCAGGTTAGGCGCCTGATTTTTTACACTGAACAAATAAACCGTATTAGTGGACACGTGAAAGTGAATAGTAAATTAATTATGTGATTATTTCAGTATGCCGGATTTTTTTTTCGGCTGGTTATTTGCCGATTCGTAGTGGCGTCCCACGCTAATCATAGTAAAAGGTGCTGATTTATGTCTAGGTTTTCGTTGCAATGGACAGGAAGTGATTTTCAGTCGCCCGATGGAAAAATTGGGCATGTTTAATGTCATAATCTCCTCCAGCTCTAGCTATAATAATATAATCTTCAGGAACTAATAATAAGCCCAAGAAGTCGAAAGCAGGTTAAATAAAGACGAAACTCTGGAAATAAGACCGAGAGTATGGAAAACAAAACCCACAGTAGAGTCCCTCAAGCAATTCATGAGAAAACACGCAGTCAAACATTGTTGAACATTTTAAGCTTTGAAGAGCACACCCTAGAATCTAACCTGTGAACGCACACTTAAAAGGATTGACGATGACCAGAAATAACGATTCAAATTTGCATCAGCGTCTGTTTGCTTCCTCCCCAATCCAAAGTTAAATATAGTTTCGGTTTAAAGTCAAGCGCCGATCTCGTTCCAACTTTACATTCAGATATGACAAGATGTCGCGTTTACTTATCTCCAACAAACAGGAATTCTATGCACCAGCCAGCCACTCCAGAGCTTTGTAATAACAAATACAAAAACTGTGTGCACGCTCAAAGCCTGATTCTGTATACGATTTCGGAAACGTGCATTTTCGTATCCGTTCCGTCCAGAAGCGAAATCACGTCCGCAGGAAAACGGGGGGAAAATCAGCGCGAGAGATTTTCCGATTTTCCTTGTTTGCATAAGTTGGAAATTATATCGAGCGAAGCGGAAGGACTTTTAAAAGCCGACATAGAAAAGGCACCGAGTTAATTTCGAATTCCCCTGGAGTTTCGCCTAGGAGATTTTCGGCAGCGGTTAAAACCGTTATTTTCCCAATTACATGGGCATTTAGTTCGAGGAAAACTGTTAAATTTCCGCTCGATTCAGCTACAGAAAACACAAATCGCACAAAGGCAGAGAACCTTTCACCTACATCTATTATTAAACACTGTGGAGGCGAATTTTTTATAGTCAATACTAGAATGGGCGTTTGTATGTCTCAATCGAGATCGAATCGATATTCCTATCAATGGGTATTTACTACCAGGCTGGGGTGTGGGTATTTTTACATTTCCATTAATAAGGTGAACCGGTGTTTAGAGAATTGGTGATCAATTAAGCATTTATCAATGAACTGCGGTTAACCTATTTATGCAGCAAAAGACGAATTTCAACATCAGAATGAATCTTATTTGCTTTTGATGATGGTGGGTGGAGGATGAAGGTTCTTTTGCTTATTGAAGATCTTTAATAGAAACTGTGCCTCCGTTTCAATTTCCAAGTTGAATTTAGAAGGTTTCTTTCATTCCAGCTGGAGATCGGCCAGAAGATGTTGCCAGTACTGTTTTAACTTTTGTGTATCAATAATTAGACAAATTTAGCTCAAACAAGTTTTCCTTTGTATTAAAAATCATTGCAAAAACGCGTGTTCCACTGGAGAATTCTCCTGGTTTGGAGCATTTTTGCCATTGCTGTTGTAGGGAGAGCAATAAACCTTTGGATCGTCTGTTCCTTAGCTCCGTCCTGATGGTCACTAAGAAATCGATCTAACAATGTTTTCAAAGTAAAAAATGCAAAAATAAGACGGAGGAAATCACTTAGATTTTGTTCGAAACAAACATGTGTTTATTGGAACTTCTGAAGGATCACTCTTCAAAAGAGCAGCAAGACACGAAGCATATATTTAGCTGACTGCAGTTGATAGAGTGGAGATGAGAAGAGTAAAGGGTTCAGTTGAGACCCAATCATGTAGAGGAAACAAGCCCATAATACAGAGACAAGAAACTGACGAGTGAAGAAGAAGCGGCAGGAGAGATGAGCAGCAAAGAGGAAAAGGGACAATGAATGAAGTCAAGTCTACCAAGCTTCAAGAATTTGATAATGTAAACGAAGATTTTAGCAACAATCAAGAAGAAAAACGGAATAGGAGACAGTAAGCTTCGATGGAGCCGGAAAGTTGCACAGAAATCGTCTTCCACTTGGCGATGGTAAAGAGTGAGGAAAAGTCTTAAATCCTGATAAATTAGTCGAAAAAACGCTGACTAGCGGAAAAACATGAAAGGACTGCAA